GTAAAAAAATCGGGAAGCAAAGGGGGTTCTCCTCTGTGTGTGGTTTTTGCCTCCCCTCCTCATGTGCCCCCTGCAAGCAGACCAGGCAACAGTTGGCACTACCTCTGTGTGCTGTTTCAGTGACACAGAAAGTCACATCAGACCCACCTCAGCTCTTTTGTATGCAGCTCAAGGCAAGTCAGGTTTCATGGCTCCCTGAAGCTCACAGAGCCCCTATACTAATTTTTTTCAAGGGGTTTTTGATTGCTTTAAGTTTTAGGTTTTTTTCTTTCCCATGCTTATTTAATTTCCCCTTTTGTGGACCAATTATTTATTTTAGTTCACACATGTGTAAGGCACCAGCCCTTTTTGTTGCTGGGTTGCTACAACGTCTGGGTATTGATAGCTGCTTCTGTGGTCTTAGTTGGGCCCAGCTTGACGTATAGGTCTGGACTCAGCCTGGACAGAAGGACACTGATGCTGAGTGGCACCACCTTTGATTTGCAGCCAGTCAAGAAACAACCTGCAGGCATACGCTGCGGCTCAAAGCAGCACGGCACACCTTCTTGGTCCCCAGTAAGTGATGGGTGGCCAAGTTCAAAATCACGAGCAATAAAAATCAAACCAGGCTACGAATGGTGGTAGTACAGTCCTGGCCCAAATAAGCAACGGTGGCAAAAGTTCCTGTAGGTCTTCTTTCTATTAAGAAAGTGGCAAAAAAGTGGTTAGCGGCTGTCACATGTCGCTGCTGCCCTACCGTGCAGAAAAGGAAACGTGCACAGATCGAAAAGGGTTGGGAAGGGGGAAAATGCAGAAGAGCAAAGCAAGAACAAAGGAAGGAGCCTCGGAAAGTGACAGATACAGTATAAATTATTTAATTTTTAAATTATTTAAAATAAGATCAAAGTCATAAATCAAGTTTGCATAAAAAATGGGGTGGGAGTGTTAGCCACGGTCTCCTGGCCAAATTCCAGCCACGGGACTGATTACATCCTGCAGCAGGGGACGGGCATAGAGATAGTCAGTAAAAACAGACAGATGGGGATGGGGGCAACATAGGCAAGGGTAACATTTGCTCTCCGATCTGGAGTGAGTCCTTCGCCGTCAGTTAATCCCAACTCCCTTCACTATGGAAAAGTACAAATGGCTGCAGCTCCCGAACTGCAGACAAAAAATGCAACAAATATGGGAACATCCAGCGCTGCACAGCGCTCAGTCACCGTCATAAGTGGTCACCTTGGGAAGTTCAGGCAGCAGTGACTACCAGGCTGACCATAAAAGCCTAGGTGCCCCCCTCTGCCTCCCTGTCTCAGCTCCTGTGGAGATGAAAGGATATTTCTGCTAAATGATCTGAAGTAGTGCTGAAGGGAAGAATCAGTTCCTCCAATATTTTTTCAATTCATACTGTGAAATTATTTTGAAAAGATACTTAAAAAAATCCAGTTAGCTCTATGAAATCAGGGAAAAATTACTAAGTATAGACTGTCTTCTGCATGCAATAGTTATTATATTTAAATGACCAAAATGGGACAGTTTATTTGGTAAATACTACCTGTTATGCAAATCACTTGTTCTGATCTATTCCAGAAAAGAAAGCTATTTTGAAGCCATAATACTTTGTAGCAGGGC